ATTTGTAATATTATTAAAAAAAATATATATAAAAAATATGTGCAATTAATTAATTTAAAGTAGTAGTATTTATTTCACATTATTCAACATCATAAATTACAACAAAATAGTATAATTGGAAATAAATATAAATTAGTAAATTAGATGAGATGAAACAGTAGTGTACCGAAAAGTAAAAGAATTATTTTCATTTTTTTCCAACATACTGATGATGATAAAAATTATCATACTACCTAGATTTATTTTTATTTTATGTAGGAATATATTGATTTAATACATAGAGTTACAAATTATGTAATATATAACATAATACAGGTAATATATTGAATATGTAAATTATTTACAATTTATAGAAGGTAATTAAAGTAATTAAACATTAGAAAAATGATTTTTAAATAAACTATTTCTGTTTTCGTTTACCATAGATTAATGGTATTCACCCTTTCACCTTGTATCTAAGTTTTTCAACTAAAATTTGTATAGTTTTCTCAATCTTTTGTTCTCGCACGCGCAGGAACATGTCAAAATTCGGAATGATTAAAATTGACACAACGCTTTTTAAGTATCTAAAAAACCAATAAGCCAGACAAAATTACAAGACTTGTGGTTGATGCATTTTATTTTTGAAAACCAATTTGAATTAGTCATCTAATTTTTTAGGTTTTGATCGAAGCAATTTTAAATTTTCAAATTAGTTATTAAAATATTAATATTTTAAAGAACTATACATTTTTTTTATTTTGAGACTTAAGTACGTGCTCAATTTTTTAAATATCAAATATTACTTAGATCGAAACCTAGAAAAATAGAATACAAATTCATATCTGTTTTTAAAATTAAAATCTATTAAACACAAGCTTCAAACTTTTGTCTGGCCTTTTGGTTGTTTCACATATTTTTTTCGACCTGCTGCAGCCCCCTTAAGTCTTTAATTTATTATTATTAATTAATTAATTTATTTATTTATAATATATAAACGCCAAACGGCAATTTTAAATTAACAGATTAAGTTTGAATTAATAGATATAACAATAAAATAATAATATAAATACACACAAAATTAAAGCATATGTAAAAACACAAGATAATATAAATTAAATGGTAATACCTTAATTAAGTAATATAAAACTATGATATTATTTAATTACTTATTAAAATCAAAATTAAGATTGTTCAGATTACGAAGCATTCTGTGCAAGGGGTGATTATATCCGTATAATGTATTGTGAGTTGGAACTTGGAAAAGTGCGTGATTTCTGGAGAAGAAGGAAGGGATATGAAAACATATTTTAGAGAGGAGATCGGGTGCATCTATGGTGCCACCTAGGAGCGAGGTTATAAAGCGCTCATCAGCATATTGTCGACGAGTTGACAGCATTGGTATTCCCAATGAACTACGAATTAAGGAATAGTCATGCGTAGGGTGAGGTATCTTCATTATGTAGGCAATGTAGGAAAGAAATCTATTTTGTACACGCTCGAGTCTTAGTTCGTCTTTAGCTAAGTAGGGATGCCACACCACCACACCGTATTCTAATATAGAACGTACTAATGAGAAGTATAATGTGCTGAGACAACGAGCAGAAGAAAACTGATTAGTATTGCGTTTAATAAAACCCAATACTTTTAAAGCTTTACCTACAGTGACATTTATATGGTTAGGATATTTATAAATAATATATATTAATACTAGTTTTATTTATGGTAATAAACAGTAAATAATCATAAATATTAATCATAGAAACTTGAAAAAATTTACTACTACTTATATTACCATTTACTATACACAGTATAGTTTTTATAATATTTAAGCTTATTTTTTTAAGTCAGCAATTAAACTGCTTTCCTTACAACCATTTTTCGTATTCAATGATGCATAATAGAATTTATATTTAATGTAATATCTTATATACTCGTACTTCTATCATTACTCAATGTCGAGGTTCACTCAAAACCTATATAATACCTGACTATCTGAGTACATTTTTTCCGTTTATTTTAAATATATTTAATATATGTTGTGCTTTAAATCGTATCATTGAAAGACTTAATCTTGAATATTTTTAAATACTTCATTATGCTTTTTTTTATTTTAACATATTATCGAGCAGTTATATATATTTATATATATATTTTAAATTCATACCTTTTTTGTTTTCAGATAATTATTATTATTTTTCTTTTTTTTAACAATTTATAGAATCGTAATTTTAAGATTTTTTATATTATGTAAATATGTATTATTTAAAAATTTAACATAAAAAATGCATTTCCATAGAATTATGAGATTCCTAAGTATATATTTAATATGGATAACGGTGGAAATATAATGTTACCGTAGCGTGCAGAGCTATTTTGATAAAAAGGGCACTTTACTTATTTAATCAATTCATTTCATAGGTCAAAATTTTGATTTATTTTTCACTTTTAGATCGTTGGTGTTTAATCATATAATACTATTTTTTTACTTTTTCTTTATGCTATCTTTATTACTGATAATTCTTTGTAATTTAAATCGTGTATACCTACTATTCTTTCAATTTGTTAATTACACAAAAGGGCTCAGACCGTATAATAAATACATATTTTGATTTTAAGTTATCCTATTAAAACAATAATTAACTTTCTTAATAATTTAAAACACTCTATTGAGATTATAATAGATGTTATAATTATATTTTTATTCAATTAGGTGTATTGATTACAAATTTATCTTTATTGGATTCTTGAATTATGTATCTATAATAGGTACCTATATTTATTAATTCATTACACTATTACGTTGACCTACTCTACGACAATTAATGAGGTATATGCGAAACCTAATATACGAGTACAATAGAGTGAATTTCTGCATTTTTTTTTTTACTCGATAAATATTTAAATACATTAACCAAAAATATATTCAATAAGTATCTTTCAGAATATTGCTTATGTGTTTTGTGTTATTTAATTTTACATACCTACCTAATTTAATTAATTCTGTTTCTCATCATTACATTAGTTGTGTATGTATATTGTGTAAATTATATGTATTATGTATGTTTTATGGATCCTAAAAGACTTATTTAATTTTTATTTTTTGAAGACTCGTATGTTAAGGTAAAAAAAGCCACCAATCAAAAGAATATTATTTTCTAAAATATTGGTATAGTTACTGAGAAAACTAGAAGTATTGTTATTTCTGTAGTTTAATTATCAACTTAATTAAATGCTGTTACCAAAAAGTTGAAAATGTACAGATTTAATTATCAATTTATCACTTAAGTTTATTGTATCACCAATATGATATGTATAAAAATAAAATTATTCATAATTTATACATTGGATGAAACATTTTATATTAAATTAGTTTTTTAAAAAAATATTTTAAGACTTATCATATGTATTTAATGAAGTAATGTTTTTTAACATTTTTAATGTGGAGACACCTTTACCCAAATAAATATTCAATTTTTTAAAGACCCTTAAATAATGTATATAATATATTTAATGAACAAGTAAAGATAAGTATTGAGAGTAAATATTATTAGCAATACACTTATACGATGTTTATAAAATATAAAGCACAAATATAGCAGTATTTTAAATATTACAAACCATTTATTTGTTTTTCAATAAATATATACATAAAAATGTTTAAATATTAATTATCTTTCTTAAATTAAGATTCTAGGATTAGAACAACATTTGTTGTTGATCTGAAATGATTCTTTAGCTTAACAAAATTTGTTTAACTAATTTTAGTGTTAAAATTTAAACATGAATATATAATACTAGGTTAAAATTATATATATATTTTTAATTGAGATTCTTTAATTTTTGTATGGATTTAAAAATCATACATATGTATTAGTGACCTAAACTTGAGATACTAGGAGTACAAGAGTACTAATTTTTAAAATTTTTTTTGTTCATTATTTATTTATTAATTTAAAATAAAAATTTAATTTTTTTGTATCTATATTTTAACTTAATAATTTACCTATTTATCATTATTTATAATATGATATATTTTAATATAAAAAAGACGAATGTTATTCATTGAAATGTTCACTATCATATGTATTTAAAGGTTAGGTAAAATTAGGTTTTATATGAAAATTTTGTCGGATACTATCTATACTCGGTTCAACGAAAAAACGAACCTCGTTTGTGCATGTGAATGAACCATCTCCGCCGTCTCGAAGCAAAGTTCTCTCTCTACATGGTGCTCGGCGAACACCATCGTGTACCACGGATGATGACAGTGTACGATGCGTTTGGGCTGGTCATTGATAGGAATGCGCGGACTACGACGAGTTATGGTTAGGGTTACCACCTTTGAAAGATAGCAGGCCGATAAGTTAAAAAAAAGGTCATCAGCCAGTATATACTAGTAGGTATGTAGTATGTAGTATAATCTATAGTTTAGTTTATGAAGTGAAAAGATAAGTAATCTTATCTTATCTTTTGGCGTAGGAAAATCAATGTTCTTTTTACTTATTGACAAACTATTTATAATTGTATAAAAATACATGGTCATGTTATGACGATCCGGAGAATAATTCACTGAACCCATAGATTTATATGTAAACCCGGAGAGGTAGCAACTATAACTTATAGTCGCTATCGAGGTCCGTTCTTTCGTTGGACGAAGTATACCTACTATTTTTCAAATGTTATGTAATGAAACGTCACTATAAAATGGTCCAAGTTCAATAATTGTATTTTCTACAAATATAAGTGCATTCATTATTGTTGCTGTATGATTGACATATTGACATAAGTTAAATACAAGCACGTCTTATGAATTGTTTCATATTGGATGGTCCTTTCCATTTATGTATACAGAAAATGCATTTATGTATATTTAATTTTCGATATTGATCAATTGCTGTATTTTATTTATGCCATTTATTAAATTTAAAAATATAATACGTATATTTAATTTTGTTTTATTTATAAAAAAATTTCACGATTTGTTTAAAATCATAAAACTTTGAAATTGATTAATTTGAAGTATTTTGTTTAATTTTTAATTGTTTGTAGGTTTTTTAGGCTCTGTACAAATTAAAATTAAGAGACTATAGATGAATCACAAATTGGTGTGATACACGATACAAAATACAACTGCTATTAAACTTGTATGAATAGATGTTAATTGGGAACTCGATTTATCTTGATATTGATCGTCCACGAATGTTGAAGATTCTTTGGAATCAGAAATGTCGTATGTTACTGCTGTGCTTATCCTAGTTGTTGTAGGCGTAGTCGTTATCTTTGTTGTATTTAACTCATCACCAGAAAGTGTTGTATTCGGATTTATGGATGACTGATTTGTAGTAGTAGTAGAGGGTATAATTGTAGTTATTGTTGAATTATTATAATAAGTCACTGTTGTATCTGTTTGCGACGTTTGTTTAGTTCTTTCAGTAACTGTAGTGCAAGGTTTATCCGTAATTGGCCCATCTTCTGTAATATCAGTGTCTTTTGTTTCTTTGGTAATAGCCGTTGTAGGGTTCGGGCTTGATGTCGATACTTTTGTAGTTGAAGATTGAGTAGTAGAACGATGAGTGCTGGGCATATCCGAATATGGGTCGTCTTCCGTATTGTACATTTCTTCTGTTTCTTCAGTTATAGTCGTTGAAGGATTTGAACTCGAAGTAAATTTCTCTGTGGTTGAAGATTGAAAAACAGAAGTTTCAGAGCTAGGTTTATCCGAAGATACTTCAGTTATTTCAGTAAAAGGTTCAGAACTAGATTTATCCGAAGTTTCTTCAGTTTCTTTGGTTTCTGTGGTATATTCGGTTGTTTCTGTT